CCCCCACGTGCCGGCGGTGGTGGGAGCCGCCTGGCCCGGGCTAACGTGCGCGCCGTGTTTTTCTCCCCACAGTGGACCGCAGCTCGAAGAGGCGGCAAGTGAAGCCCTTAGCAGCTTCGCTGCTGGAAGCTTTAGATTATGATAGCTCAGATGACAGTGACTTTAAAGTGGGCGATGCCTCAGGTAAATGCCTCCCTTGTCTCCTCCTCCGCCCAGCCCAGCTCTCGCTTCCCTCTTTTTGTTGTGCTCTCCCCCTCCGGCCGGCTGCAGGCTGCCCCCTCTGCTTGCCACTGGGGTGATGAACCATGCTGGGACAGTGTCACCTGCAGCCCCGTCATCATCTGATTGGCAAATTAGTAATCCTGGTGGGAGCGGGGAGGGGGGAAATAGAACCTGTGGGGGAAAAATAAGACTGTTCCTGAAATACTAGACCGCCTGTTACAACTTTCAAAGGTCCAATTTTATATAGATATATCAAGGATTGGTAATTGACAGATCAAGTTTCTGTCACTGAAATGAGGAATGATATGGAGAGAGTCCAGTGGAGAGCAGCAAAAATGGTTTGGGGGCTGGGGTACATAATGTATGAGGAGAGGCTGAGGGAACTGGGCTGATTTAGTGTAGAGAAGAGGAGACTAAAGCAGGATTCAATAGCAACCTTCAGCTACCTGGAGCGGGGTTCTAAAGAGACTGGACCTCAGCTGTTCTCAGTGGTGGCAGATGACAGAGCAAGGAGCAAGTCTCAAGTTGCAGCAGGGGAAGTTTAGGTTGGATATTAGGAATAACTTTCTCACTAGGAGGGTAGTAAAGCACTGGAATGGGTTACCCAGAGAGGTGGTGGAGTCTCCATCCTTGGAGGTTTTGAAGACCTGGCTAGACAGAGTCTTGGGTGGGATGATCTACTTGGGCCTGGTCCTTCTTTGAGCAGGGGGTTGGACTAGATGACCTCAGGTCCCTTCCAACCCTAATTTTCTATCATTCTATGTTGACAGTTGATTTTCCCGCTGGGTATGGTGCCTTTCTTGTGGCAAAAGGCTGTTATGGAAGTATACATTAGTTATACTTTGGGTGTAAGCCATTACCATTAGGCCATCATTTTATTCTGTATTCTGAAGACTTCTTCATTCATTAAATTCTCCAAAGTGGATCTTTTCTGGACTAATTTCTCAAGCCTGGCTCCAGCAAAAGATTGGGCTACTTGGGAGGAAAACAATCTATTCAGATTGTAGATTTTTATGACAGTAGCCAAATGCAGAGGCCTGATATGGAGTAGAGCCCTATTGTTCTATCATCTGTACGAACTCCATGGTAAAAGGCATTCCCTTCCTCAAAGTATTTACCATCTAAAGCCTGAACCCTGCAATCCAATGCAGGTGGCTTGACCCCAGCACCTGTGTGGAACCTCCATTTACATCTGACATAAACCCAAACTCAGTAACTGATGTAAGAAACAAATAGAGGAGAGGGAAGGAAGAAGGTACAAGTGGCAAAATACATAGTTTGGGCCAGTGAGTCTCAGCCAAGGTGCTGTGGCACATTGGAGTGCCGTGAGATCCTTTTAATAGTGCTGTGGGGTACTGCACTGTTAGGTGTGCAAATACCTACACAAACAGAGATTTCAACTAGCAGTCTATAATGTCAAAAACATTCTGACATGTTGTGGATTTTCTGAGTTCATTGTGATAGATGAAATGCTCTAGAATTATTAAAAGCTGAAAGGGATTTTCCTTGGGGTACTCGCATCTGAAAAGTTTGAGAACCAGTGGACTAAGCATTTCTGAGTGCACATAGGTCATTGTCAGCTTTCCACCATAGGTGTTGAAACTGGGTACGGTATTGCAAATATACTGTTTCCCCCTTACTTTGTGCCCAATTTTAAAGATGCTGGTATGAAAAGTTGTAAGATAGAACAGCCTAGATGCTTCTCTTGTGAGTTTCTTTGCTAAGCTGCTTTGGAAGCAAGCACATTTCATCTTACAGAAATACTTGCTGTAGTAGGAGTTGAAGTAGAAGTGAAGCTAACTATATTATCAGTTTCCACTATTAAATCATTTTAGATTCTTGTTCAATAGCATAAGGCAGGATTTGGGGGAAGATGAATATAAACAGTACAAAGATAGTGTGAGGACCCAAGTATTTGAAGAGAGAACTGGGGAAGGGATGAGGAAAGATAAATTAAACCCTAATTTTAGGGTAATCATAACTTCAGTCACTAAAAGAAATTCAGAAATCAAGTTTTCCATCTAAAATATTGGTATTGGAACTTGGGGTTGATCTAGCTGGACTATGGATGTTGTACATATGGAGATGTAGAGCTTGCTCTAAGTAACATACAATTGTTTATATCTTTACTTCAACGTAAGGAGCATGAATGGGGATTCCCTCAAGACGCTTCTTTGAAATTGAAGCAGTTTGTGGTCTGTTATGGTGATGAAGAATTCATATTATGCAGTCAAATATTCGGAATATTTTTGCATTCAAGTGACTTGGATAACTGTTCTAAAACTTCAGAATTTGTATTTAGTTGAATGGGGAATGCTTACTTGGTTAAAACTGGAAAATAATTATACTTGAAATAACAAAGTTGTTAAGGTTTGGGGTGGGGAAAGGACACTTTTTTAACACACAATTTGGCCTCTTAAAAAAACTAAGAACTGGAAGGGTAATGTAATAAATACTACTTCCCATGTTTCATTATAAAAAATAGACAGTAGCCAGATGCTTGTATAAGGTTGGCTGCTCTAGTTTGAGTGTGACTGGTAATACTTAGCTTTCAGTTCAGGTTGTTGTTGGTCTGGTCTTTTTTTTGATGGAAGAACTACAAAGCTAAATGGACTCAGTGGGACATGTGCATTATTCATGAGAGAGAGATACTGGTTTATTATTGTCTAAAGTGGATTCCCCATTTGATTCCTTATAGTGTTGATCCTTCAGTGTATAGCGCATGGGTATTCATGCACAGGACCATTAAATTCAGTGCGACTTGGACCACAGGGGATCAGTCTGTGTACTGCCTGTTGCAGATTAGGGCCTGTGCATAAAGACTTAAAATTTTGAATCCCAAAAGTTCTACTTCTGGTAGAAATGGATTTATCACAAATGTAGATAATCAGGTGGCTAAATGTAAATAGAGACTAGTCTTTTTGTTTTATGTATTAAAGAAATTCAAAAGTTTTTTTTGGGTGGCTCTTGTATCTATGTATGTAAGGCTAAAGGTTGTTAAGAGCTATGTAGTATGAGATGTTAGATGCAGCCAGGAGAACCTGTTTGATTTCCAAACCCTTATTGGTACTCACAGTCCCACTGAAATCAGTGGAAGTATGTGTTTCAGTAAGGGTTTGTGAGCTTGGACTTGTTTCAAGGCAATATTTTAACTTTTGAATCTTGGGGTTCTGTACCTTTGATATCTTTTCTTTAATGAGGAAACAAAAAAAATCCTTTTGTGTTTCAGTAGGTGCCCATAGTGGTTTCATTTATAGCAGTGTCTGTTACCTTGTTTGTAGGTTTTGCAGCGGGTATAACCCACACATTAGTTAAGGTAAGAAGTTGGAGCCTTTTCTGTTTAGCTTTAAATGATTTTGAAACTGTTGGGAATTTGTAGGTATTCCCATTATACCCATAAATCTAATCTTCAGCCTTAATGTTGCATTTGCTTAGTTTTTTGTGATAAATGAAATAATTCTCTTACTCTACATGGTTATTACCCCAAGTAGTGCCTCATAGTATTGTTTTAAAGTTGCATTTATTATTCAAGTCCATGTTTGTTTATTACACATAATTAAAAAATTGTTCCTGGCTGAAAGTTGGCATTATGAGGTCTTAGCTTGAAAACAATTTTAAGAAGAGTTGCTTTGGCCTTTTTATGTTATAGATAGAAAAGAACAAACAGTCTTATAATTTGATGATTTTTTTTTTTTTTGTACTCTATGCTGCCTTCGATTGAAGCTTTGCACTTGAGAGGTGATTTTTGAGCTTTGCTTTAAAAAGTAGCTAGAATATATTCTTATTTTTTAGTCTGAACTGCTGATGCATCCTAAGGAATGTTGATATCTAGACAGTGTTTATATGGTTTTTCTCTACATGCACATACTTTATGTGTATTACATTTATTCTTCAGAATTTCAAACCAAATGGGCTTTGTGGATGTGGGAGTGTCACCTGCCACTGAAAGCGAGCTGAGGGTCTGAGCCCAACACAACCCTTTGCATCAGGACTAGTGAAAAAGAAATGTTGGGAAGAACGTTACTTTTTTTCTATTGCACTTATGAGGAGAATTCTGAAACTAACTAGATATAATCATCTACTTCAGAATTCATGACAACATGTTTAACATTCTTAGATTTTCTAATCTATTTTTCTCTAAAACTTCTAAACTGATACTGATGGAGAATTACAGCACTGGCAGGAACTTACTGTGTCATATTATCGAACCCTCTGCACAGATGCAGGCTACCCTATTTCTGAACCATTTCCAATAGATGTCTGTCTAGCTTCTTCTTGGAAAAACTCCATGGAAAGAGGTTCTGCAAGTTCCCTAGGCAACTTGTTCTGTTGTCCTATGGTTATAACAATCATTAATCCTGAGATTTAATTAAAATATGCTTTGATGCAGTTTAAACTCATTGCCTTTTGTCCTGTTTTTGTGGTGAAGGAGAACGTATTATTTTGCAATACCTTTATGGCAGTCTTTCAAATAGTTGAAAACTATTGTCTTGTTTCCTTGCCCTGTCTCCTGCCCCCCCCCCCCCCCCCCCCTCCCCTCTTCT